ATACACACGCACATACTAAATAAAGGCATTTTAAACCCTTCCTACACTTTTGCAATATTCTAAACAATGTTTCTAAACGCTCTAAAAGAGCACAGAATGTCATGATTTCATCTCTGCCTCATCTACTCTTTTCCACCTGCAAGCATTCTTGGCCACGCCCACTTCTCCGCTCTGCAGGAGAACAGCTGCAGCAGGAAGTTTATCCTGCAGTATGGGCTGCACAAATGTGCAGCCGGTGCTAAATAATTTAAATAAAATTTCCATGCCGGTTGTGCGATTCATCCATCAATCAGCCAATTGTGTGTCATGTCCAATCTTGCTTTGAAAAAACCTTGTTAGAGCGAGTCCGCGATAAATGAACCATGAAGTAGCAAATAGAGCCGTCATTTCTAACCCGAGCCCGGCCCGGCCCAGATTTGGACCGGGCCATAATAATATGTGGGCCGGGTCGGTCTTTTTATTGTGTCAGGGATTCGCGCGCGGCCGACGATCCAATTATATGCCAACATTGCTTGCCATACTACGTCTGCTGCACACGGCCATTTGACCGGCCGGTTGAAAGAGATAAAAAGTTCAGTTAAGCTTCAGATGAACCACTGCCAGCGATCCATCAGCTCAAATGGACGTTCATTCAGCCTCTGCATTCAGCGGACGTGTGCGGCCGACAACCCAAACAGGTGAGATCACAAAATATTCGACATGTCAGAGCAGGGTCCAATGCAGGCAGAAGCAGGAGAAGCATTTAATGTGCTTTGATGGCTCCTCAGCTCCGATCTTCTGTTCCCTTTAATCAGTCGCGTGCGTCCGCCAACTGTTAATAATAGTTGGTGGTATAAGCAGTCAAAGCTTAATTAAAAATGTCAGGGGGTTTTCGGGTTCAGACCTGTAATTACTGTTAATTTGTGGGACCGGGTGGGGTTTGGAGATGATGGCTGGGGCCGGGTCGGATTTTTTGGACCCGAGTGCAACTAGTAGCAAGGGACTACTGTAATAGCTAGTTCAAAGCTAAAACCAGTTATGCAAAATATGCTTGCGTTTCTGTTGGGCACCACAAATGTTTGATATATTTTGTTATTTCAAGAACTTAAACTTTGACCAACACCTCCATCAGCACACTTCATCATATTCTGAACCTTTGTAACCTAAAAACAATTCTTGGAGAGAATATGGCATCTTTGTAAATTGTTTTTAGTGTAAAACGCTTTGAGTGTCGATAAAATAGAAAGGCGCTATGCAAGTACAGTCCATTGACCATTTTTCCTAAAACATTGACTTTTTATAGAAGTTCTCCATATGAGCTGCTCTTTAGAAACTTTTTCCAACTTATCAGACCATTTGCCTGTTTTGGTATGTTGGTGGGTTGCCAGCTGATGTGTTCCAACTTGATTTCTACATGACTTGAAAAACCTGAAGAAAGTAACTCGCTGGGTTGCGACTATTGCCAACCAGGGCTTAATTTTATCCGAATCCTGCCGGAACAGGATCCAGGAACTCTCATTTTAACAGGGTGCGTTCTGGCAACCGTTTGCTCGGATCCAGCAACTCAAATCTCTGCCCTGCCCCTAAAAGTCCAAAGTCATTGCGCATTTTTATTTTGATTATTTATTCAATTCAGTTTATTTATATAACACCAAATCACAACAAAGTTGTCTCAGGGCACTTTACAGAAACATTCACATAAAAGCCAATTAGTAAAGTTCTCTATCTAAGGAGGCCAGCAGACAAGTTGAATCTTGGCTTTGTTGCAGTCTCCCATTATTAAAAATACAAACCGGATTCCAAAAAAGTTGGGACACTAAACAAATTGTGAATAAAAACTGAATGCAATGATGTG